TGTACTGTAAAATAATATAGTTATAAATACTTTTAATCATCAATACGAAATAAAGGGTTAATATTGCGGGGATCAGCACCGCCCCGCCGTGATGGATTGGATTTTTCTTCCAAAGCCTGCGGTGCAGCTGTGTGTTTTGGAGAGAAGAACATAGTTATGTGATCAACGCGCAAGTCAGTGAGCTAATCCGGTTTATTCCCATTTTAAATCATGTAGGCTACTATTTAACCACGTATGACCAGAACGTAATCTGGATATAATGGGTTCCTCTATGTCATCCTGTTCTAAACATCACCAATTAATTAAGCAAACCACTTAATGCAGGAATGCCGCTACTACTATAGCGGTGCTTGAACTCTATTGTCAGAGAACAAGAGGGTAAATGTCTACACATCGGTTTTTCCAAGACAACGATGAAGTCATAGCCTTGAATGGAGCAGCGACTGGCATGTAATATTCCCAGGGCCAAGAGATACATGTCATTTGCTATCAGTAATATATTGATTTGAAATGCAAATAAAAAACATTTTCTATGAGACATTTTCCTGACTTTATGTTTCACTATTATATTATGGGCTACTATATAAATCTTTTTAAGCAAACCTGTTAAAATGTAATGATGTCAGAATATTGGACCCAGAATTCGAGGCGAGACAGGCAGTGGGAAAGTTTAAAACGTTTATTAAACACTAACAGGTGAGCGGGGCTGCTCGTTTGCTGCAGGGCAGATCTCTGCAGGGATAGGAGAATACTGGGCAAAAAAACTCTGATTACTTCCAAAGAAAAATTATTATAAGAGCTTCAGAGTTCAGGATTATTCAACCACTCGGATTTTCCCCATAATTTGGCCTTTCCCGCTAACAGAGAGATTACATAGGCCACCTTGGCTCGATCAGAAGGAAACGCAGAGGGCTGTAATTCAAAATGAATTTCGCACTGAGTCAGGAAGGCTCTGCATTGATCAGGATCCCCTTTAAACGCTTCAGGAGGGGACAGATGCGGTTCAAGAGAAGCTGGACTATCAGTAGCAGACGACGGCGCGGCAGCTGTCAGGGGCGGGGCAGCTGGAGCAGCCTGATTAATAATCAAGAATCTCCTGCATGCCTGATTCTAGCCGGGAAATACTTTGATCCACATCATTTCGCCACTGCCAGGTTATTCTGTAATGATCTCAGAATATTGGACCCAGAATTCAAGGCGAGACAGGCAGAGCTGAATGCGACTTGGAGCAAAGTCACTGACTTGATTCAAAGTTCAGTTCATTCGCGGAGAAACTCAGCAGAATCCAGAAGGGAGATTTGACCAGCAGTTGCGGCGGCCACGCCCCCAGAGTTTCTAGAGGGCGAGCAGCAGACGCCGCTGATCCACAGGACAGAAAACTGGTCATAATCAGGGAAGCAGAGAGACTAAAGAAAGCTAGGAAACGTCTCACCAAAACACACAAATAACCTGGCGCTGATGGGAGGCAAACACACAACTTAGAACCGCAGAACCAATTAGACAGGGAGCAGGGGCAGAGGAAAAAACCAAACCATCAGCGCCAAGATCCTGACATAAAAACCCCATTTCCATTTCTTTCGTTTTTAAAATTAAATAAAAAAATTAAATGGCAAAAATCCAAACGTGTCTGCTAGTTTAAAGTCCATCTTATTTATTTGAATATTTAACGAAAACATTGCAGATGCTTCACACGCACACAAAATGACAGAAAGATCCGAGCGTTTTAGTTTCTATATATATATATATAATACGGAGCCCCCTAGGGGACATGGGGAATTTTTTTTCTTTTGCGTTACCTCGCAAAACTTTTGCGTTCCCTCGCAATACTTTTGCGTTCCCTCGCAATACTTTTGCGTTCCCTCGCAAAAACTTTTGCGTTCCCTCGCAAAAGTTTTTGCGTTACCTCGCAATAGGGCTTGGTCGTCGTGACGTCACCACTTTGCGTGGTCGCCCTGTTGACGGCGCACTTTACGGCTTCCTTAGACTATTGCCTGTGACTAACGCGTACTGTACTCCCTCTCAGCCGTGTTTTATTTCGTTTAATTTCACCGTAACTTGATTTCAACCATGGTAAACCGTTGCTGTATTGTGGGCTGTAACAGCGCATCACATGATCGCCGAGGGAAAAACCTACAAAATGGGATAACTTTCCACCGCTGTCCTGCCTGGAGGCGCAAACACGGAGACCAAGTTTCACAGATAACAAAAAGTCGTCGGCTAGCTTGAATCGCGGCTGTAAGACGACAGAACAGAACTTTCCACAGTATCCTGATGTCAATGCGAGTGTGTTCCCTGCATTTTCATTCTGGTAAGTTAAAGATGCACGGTTTTATTTTATAGCCTACAGTGTTTCCTTCCTTCATCCGTGGCACCACATACATGCATGAACGCGCGCCCAGAGACTGTTGATATAGCATTTTCATCCTCGTTGGTTGATATAGCATTTTATCCTCTTTGGTAGAACACACTGCCAGTTCCTACAAGGACAGCGACATCCCTCTCCATTTTCAAAAAAAACCCTGAGGTTGACAGCTGTCATAGCACCACTTATAAATTTTGCTGATCCTAGCGCTTACCAGCCGTCTTGTAATGTAATGTAATCATATAATACAATATAATAATGTGTATATTGAGGATCATTGATAACATTATGGTTCTGTATGTGTTCAACACTGCTGCTGTGGATAATAATTTTAAATTGTGTCACCAGGAAAACCAGCAAATGAAATGTACACCTCGCATCCGGATTGGGCACCATCACTACACTTGGGCCACACTGAGATAAAGGCCACACAGACTGCACGCTATGAGAGACAGGAAAAGAGAAAACGGCAAAGGACTGACAGTACACCTGCGAGGATGAGACAGCTATTGATGACCTCTGTAAGGCTTACCGCCCGGTAAGCCTTACAGAGCCAGCAGATTCAACACCGTATGTTGCTTTTGTGGCTTTTTCAGCTGCATGATGCACATTTAGCTAAAAGATGTCCTTATTTTATCCATAGTGGAGACACCAGCACCAGCTGAGGATGGAGCTGAGCAGACACCGCTGACAGAATGTGACTTCTGTCAGCGCCGGCGTGCTGAAATCAACCGGCTGCTGGAGGAGAACAGGACCCTGAAACGTGAGCTTGGCCAGAGAAAAATGGATGAAGATTTCCTGAAGGAAGACACCGTCAAAGTGAAATACTACACTGGACTTCCACACCTTAAAGTCAACCACTTTATTCTGGTGTTTATGAATTACTGTATTAAAGAAAAGATTGATGCTCAATATGGAATTGACAATTTCTTTGTATCAACAATACACTCTAAGCAAACATTTAACAAGTGGGTTGTTTTTTAGCCATAGGTGTGTTTTGCATCCATACCCAAAAGCAAGAGGTCTCAAACGATCAGATCCTTTTCAGTGTTTATTTGCAAGTAGTGAAACTTGAGAACACAGTGTAGCGCAGAACAGTGCAGTGCAGTTTGAATGCTTGTAGGTAAATGGTTACAAATAAAAAATGGACGCGATGAAAATGCAGTGCAATTACTTACAATAACATAGTATGTATTTATACAAAATGTTCAATCCTATTAATAAGTCGGTCTTAATGAAACATCAATGGAGAAATGGAAAGTGGAGATATTGCAAATTATTATTATACAAATTGTAGTTATAGTAAACATTAACAGTTAAACACTGTTAGTGCAAATTCTTATATAAGTATTTATAATAATATGCATTACTTAAATTGTATAAATAAAGGCTGCGATGCAATATGTCATGATATACAATAATATAATCTATAATTGTATAATATAACAACGTGCAATAATATGCAAATATAACAATACAATGTAATAATACAAAATACTATGCTTTTTATAAAAAATGTCTATGTATAAAAAAAATTCCAAAGTAATAAAAAATACGTATTTATGAAACATCAATTACAAACATAAAAATTGGAGGTAGATCAAATTAAGTAATAACAGATATCAATAACATTTGAAGTAGTGCAAATTATTACAGGTACTATAGTACACATTAAAAAACACTGTTAGTGCAAATTCTTATATAAGTATTTATAATAATATGCATTACTTAAATTGTATAAATAAAGGCTGCGATGCAATATGTCATGATATACAATAATATAATCTATAATTGTATAATATAACAACGTGCAATAATATGCAAATATAACAATACAATGTAATAATACAAAATACTATGCTTTTTATAAAAAATGTCTATGTATAAAAAAAATTCCAAAGTAATAAAAAATACGTATTTATGAAACATCAATTACAAACATAAAAATTGGAGGTAGATCAAATTAAGTAATAACAGATATCAATAACATTTGAAGTAGTGCAAATTATTACAGGTACTATAGTACACATTAAAAAACAATGTTAGTGCAATGTCTTATATAATTACTTTTAACAATATGCATTTCTTAAATTGTATAAATAAAGGCTGCGATGCAATATGTCATGATATACAATAATATAATCTATAATTGTATTGTAATATAACGACGTGCAATAATATGCAGCTGCAATGTCTTTCACTGTCTCACAGTGCTGGAGAAGGACAGCTGGTGGAGCATTTTCAAACTTTGGGTCGCGCAGACGGTCTTGCAGGGGTTTTGGGATCACAGCTGGCTGGACAGGAGCAGCATAGTTGTGAAAGTAGGGCTTCACTGTGGACATACAAACTGACCTATGGTTCTGAAGAACAGGGAACATTGACGATAAGTCGTCCAATGTAGCTTGGGCAGTGCGTCTGCTGGCCCGTGTCCGTAGGCCAGGCATGGGAATGTTGTCATCGATGACTCTGTCCAGAGCAATCCTCTGCGCTTTGGATGAAGTGAAGTCCATCTTGTGGGCGACTTCACCGCTGACTTTGTTGATACCTGCTGGTATTTTCCAATAAGCTGGCACATCTGTCACAGTCTTTTTCCCACGGATGCGGACTGCTGCCTCAATCTTAAACAGCAGAGCCCCAACTTGTGTACATGCCTCTGCAATTCCAGCCATGCATGTACAGTGTGCACAGCAAACCTGCCCATCGTCAGCAATGATGACCCATGGCTTCAGGGGAGTCTCATTAATGCGCTGAGAGTGCAAGACCTGAGGAGAAAAAAAATAGACATAAATTATGCAGGTAAGGACACCATTATATTTCATTCTATGCAGGAAAGCAAACGTTAACCTCAACCCCTCATGCATGTGTATACATATCATATAAATCACAGTTATACAACAGTAAAGTATAACAACCACGCTGTTATATTGTTATATCACTTAAAAGAAAAAGAAATGAAATGAGCACAGGACATTTAAACCTGCATAATACCTCTGAGTGAATGATTTAAGCTCAAAGTTACCCGTTACAGTGTTTTATGAGGTCAGATTTAATAACCCGCAGTCAATACTGCACTCATTTTTCTAAATAGTTCACTTTGAAAGACTGATTCAAACTAGGAGTTAACTTGAATGGCCACAGCACTGCACTATTGTTTATTTTTTTATATTTTGGAGATCTTTGACTATTTAATCTGTTCCTTAAAATTTTATTAATAACAATGTTCAATAAATGATTTTCAACAAAATACAGATGTAACACCTATCCAGTTTCTGAATGATGGTAAAAAAAATCTTGTTTCTACCAGCAGCTGGGGGAGACTAGATTAGAAGATGGTTCAGAAAACCTGTTAGGACACATTTTTTTTCTAACACTAAGTATCAAACAAATGCTGATTTCTATTTCAGCAAATTATTCTTAAAATTTTTTTTTATATTTTGAATAAATGTTTTGATGAAGATTTGAGATTCCTTTCACTGAATGAATGGTCACGAAGCTAGTGTTAAGCTTGAAGTCTCTGGCCAAGCTCACGTTTCAGGGTCCTGTTCTCCTCCAGCAGCCGGTTGATTTCAGCACGCCGGCGCTGACAGAAGTCACATTCTGTCAGCGGTGTCTGCTCAGCTCCATCCTCAGCTGGTGCTGGTGTCTCCACTATGGATAAAATAAGGACATCTTTTAGCTAAATGTGCATCATGCAGCTGAAAAAGCCACAAAAGCAACATACGGTGTTGAATCTGCTGGCTCTGTAAGGCTTACCGGGCGGAACAAGGTCATCAATAGCTGTCTCATCCTCGCAGGTGTACTGTCAGTCCTTTGCCGTTTTCTCTTTTCCTGTCTCTCATAGCGTGCAGTCTGTGTGGCCTTTATCTCAGTGTGGCCCAAGTGTAGTGATGGTGCCCAATCCGGATGCGAGGTGTACATTTCATTTGCTGGTTTTCCTGGTGACACAATTTAAAATTATTATCCACAGCAGCAGTGTTGAACACATACAGAACCATAATGTTATCAATGATCCTCAATATACACATTATTATATTGTATTATATGATTACATTACATTACAAGACGGCTGGTAAGCGCTAGGATCAGCAAAATTTATAAGTGGTGCTATGACAGCTGTCAACCTCAGGGTTTTTTTTGAAAATGGAGAGGGATGTCGCTGTCCTTGTAGGAACTGGCAGTGTGTTCTACCAAAGAGGATAAAATGCTATATCAACCAACGAGGATGAAAATGCTATATCAACAGTCTCTGGGCGCGCGTTCATGCATGTATGTGGTGCCACGGATGAAGGAAGGAAACACTGTAGGCTATAAAATAAAACCGTGCATCTTTAACTTACCAGAATGAAAATGCAGGGAACACACTCGCATTGACATCAGGATACTGTGGAAAGTTCTGTTCTGTCGTCTTACAGCCGCGATTCAAGCTAGCCGACGACTTTTTGTTATCTGTGAAACTTGGTCTCCGTGTTTGCGCCTCCAGGCAGGACAGCGGTGGAAAGTTATCCCATTTTGTAGGTTTTTCCCTCGGCGATCATGTGATGCGCTGTTACAGCCCACAATACAGCAACGGTTTACCATGGTTGAAATCAAGTTACGGTGAAATTAAACGAAATAAAACACGGCTGAGAGGGAGTACAGTACGCGTTAGTCACAGGCAATAGTCTAAGGAAGCCGTAAAGTGCGCCGTCAACAGGGCGACCACGCAAAGTGGTGACGTCACGACGACCAAGCATAACGCAAAAACTTTTGCGAGGGAATGCAAAAGTTTTTGCGAGGGAACGCAAAAGTATTGCGAGGGAACGCAAAAGTATTGCGAGGGAACGCAAAAGTTTTGCGAGGTAACGCAAAAGAAAAAAAATTCCCCATGTCCCCTAGGGGAATTCCCCATGTCCCCTAGGGGGCTCCGTAATATAATACCTTTCAAAACCTATGAGTGTTTTTAAAATCTAGTGATTTTTTGAAAGAAAATAAAAGAATAAAAATAGTTAAGCATTTTAAAAGCAATTTTACAAAAAAGGAACATAACAGCATTTTTTAAATAAATGATTTATTATGAGAACATATCATTTCACCATTTATTGGGGGTAATTAATTGAATGCTTATTTATTTATTGAACATATATATATATTTATTTAGATTGGATTAGATGTGATTAGATGAGCTTTATTGATCTCACAGCGGAGAAATTTAATCGTCACATATTGGCATAGAAGTTACAGAAGGTGCAAACAGGGAGGAAAAAGGTGCATTAAGAATAAGCAATATATATACAGTATATCAAGATAAATAGGATTAAGGTGCATGTGTACATGTATCGCACACAATGAAAAACAAAACAAAAATAGGAAATAAAAAAAAAAGAAATAACGATATGTGCAATACGGATGGCTTATATACAGGAGGAGAAATATTGCACATTCAACATATTGCACAGCATATTGTTCACAGTCAATAAATACAAAACTATAATGTAGCTACACAGTGGTTTTTACAGGAGTTATTGTTGATATAGCGCATTATTATAGAGTCTGGTGGCAGCAGGAACGAATGACCTGCGGTAGCGCTCCTTCTTACAGACATGGTGTCTACTGTAAGTCTCTGACTAAAGGAGCTGCTCAGCTCCTCTTTTTACACATGGGAGACTCATGCGTGAATGTCCAACGAATAACTCCAATTGTTGTTTCAAAAATAGAAAACCTGGTTTCATTACTTAGTTTTGCCCTGGATGTTGTAGCGTTTGTGGACGCTATGTTGCTACTTGATAAAAAAAAATAACGTCACTACTGGAAAGTTACTTGATAAATAATGCAGTGACGCTACGGCACTTATATTTTACAAAACTAAAGAAAATATATTTTCTTACATACCCTGTTGAATAACTTTGGCTTATCTTAATGAGGAATCAACTTTGGATATGATTTTAATTTCAACATCACCAGCCGCAGCACTGTCTCTGTCGCCTTTCTCTGGTTGCGCCTCAGTCCGTATCCCCGGTTCCAACTTAATTAATTTTATTTTTAATAAAAAATAGAGATGCAAATAAATAGAAATAAACAGATCTCAGATAAGATCGGAGGTGTATCTATAACTACGCCACCGTTTTCATAAAATAAGATTATGCAGTCACTATGTTAAATTAATTCATTAAGTTTATTTTAATCAAAAACAAAATAAAATAGCACAGTATTACACCAAGATCCCCAATAAACCTGCTTTTCAGTTGACTGCAGGCCCACAAACGTCACCCTCAGCACGGCAGAGGTCCCAAGCGCCACCTGGTGGTTGTCCGGGTACATTGCAGTTCTTTTTGAAATAAAAAACTGGCCTCAGGAAATACATCGTGATTCACGTGGGAATCACACAGGAATCACGCAGGAAACCGTCCATTTCCAACCAGTACCCACTGTACGTCGAGCTGCTTTTCCCCATCAGGTACGGTTTCCCCTTCATCTCCACACAGCGCAGGCGGCACGATTCACCGTGCAAGCAACAGGAAGCACGCATGCTCACTAAAGACGCGTAACAGCCGCCCTGTGCTCGCGCCACAGGGGAACTGCGGAGAGCATGAACAATCAAATGTTAGCCTATATGGAGAAAAGGGAGAAATCGGGATGGATGGATGGATGGATGGATGGATAGATTGATAGATACTGTCATAGTTGAATAGTAGTCATTGTACTCTCTCCCTGGTTGATGGTTTGATGGTGGACAGGCTGGTGAGCGCAGGCAGGAGGGCTGAGCGGTGGATCAGTCCGAGATTCTTGGGTTCCTAGTTGTGTTCAGATGGGGATCCAAGGTCTGTGGTTCCAGGCTGGGTTTCAGGGTCAGAGTCCAAGGTTCTGCAAATAAGGTGCAAGATCAGAGTTAGGCTGGAGATGACAGGCTTTATCTGAGAGACATGGAACGTAGGATGGACACGGAGGAAGCTTAAGGCGGACAGCTGTGGGACTAATAATCTGGTTGATTTTAAAAGGACCGAGAAACCTGGGAGCCAACTTCCTGGACATGGCCTTTAAGGGGAAGTCCTTGGAAGAAAGCCATACCTCTTGCCCAGAGGTGTAAGGGGGGCAGGGATGCGGTTGCGGTCAGCAAAGGTCTTATCCCGGCAAGAGGCTGCCTGCGTCTGGTCCCCGACCCTAAAACAACAGCAAAGGTGGGTTCTAACGGTCGGTTGGACTTAATCAGGAAAGGTTGAAGGTAAGAGATAACGTTGGTAGCCTAGTGATGTCTTGATTGGGGATAAACCAGTAGCCTCGGAAACATGGGTGTTATGAGCCTACTCTACCCAGGCCAGATGTTGGCTCCAGGTGCTGGGGTTGTGAGAGCAGAGGCAGCGGAGGGTGTTCTCCAGTTCCTGGTTAAGCCGCTCACACTGCCCATTTGACTGGGGGTGAAACCCAGAAGAGAGGGAGGCTTTAGCCCCTAAACACTGGCAGAAGTCTCGCCAAACCTGAGAGATAAACTGCGGACCGCGGTCTGAGACTATCTCAGATGGCAACCCATGGAGTTTAAACACATGGGTAAACAACGACCGGGCAGTCTGATGAGCAGATGGAAGTTTGGACAAGGCCACTAGGTGGCAGGCTTTAGAGAATCAATCGATAACCGAAAGGATAACTGTCTTGTGGTTAGATGGGGGAAGACCGGTAACAAATTCTAATGCTATATAGGACCAAGGTCAGCTGGGTCTGGGTAGAGGTTGGAGTAAACCGGCAGGCGGTCTACTAGAACCCTTATCGGTCTTTGTCAGACACGTGACTGACACGCCCCCTAGCGCCATTTTTGTGGTGAGCAGAAGAAAAACAAAACAGCAGAAAACAAGAGGAGAGCGCTGCCAGCAGTGAGGATTATCAGTTAAATGGAAAAGAACAAGAAAACTGAACGGTTACCCTACCCAGACAAACTTTCTAAAGCTGCTAGGGAACGATATTATATATTATTATTACAGTGACAAGGCAGATGTTGTGGGCAGTTGCACAGATAGCTGCAGTTATTAGAGCAGTTTGTGCTGCTCATCAGACTGAATGAAAAAACTTGTCATAATTTTTGCACATTGATAAGTTGCACACTGTATTTGCTGTTCACTTTATCCAGGCCTGTTTTCACTGGGATCTGCAGTCTTCTTCACAGATATCACCTGTTAGGTCATATCTCTACGGAAGACCACAGTGAAAACAAGTCCTGGGAAAATGAAAATCTTCTAATTTAATCTAAAGAGCAATCTGCTATATACGAGGGAGGAAGACAAAGTAAAACATTTGAAGCTTTGCACTGTTCTGCATTATTTATGTATTTGAGATTTTGTATTGCATTTTCATAAATCCTCTGCTTGATTGAAAAGATAATAACAACACTTGTTTCAAATTTCAAATCCACTCTTTATTGTACACACATTTTTACAACTTCAGAAAACATTAATATTTGAAGTGATGGTGAAACTTATATTTGTTTTGCTGTTATTTTTCAAAAGTAACTTTAAAAAAAGCAAAATTCTATTTGTGTGAAAAGAAGAATAAAAAAAGAAGAATAAAGTTGAAACAGTACTTGATCTGGCATTCATTTATTAGCTGGTTTCTCTGTGAAAATTTCAAAACAGTCAATAATCACTGTGACTCTATGTCCAAAGGCCTCCACAAACTGATGAGGCATAATTTTGTGCAAGGTGTCTCTATCTGGCCACACAATTGCACGCTTTAGATTTGCATATAAAAATGACACCATTTCATTGAATGTTCTGTACACTGTCTTTGGTGAAACACGGAAGAGATAAGCAAGGTGTTTTGAGGGCAGATCCAATCTCAGACGCATGAAGGTTAACAGAGCATTTGAAATGGACTGAGAATTTTGTTTTGAGCAGACATGAGAGGCAGCAGAAAATTAAACAAAGCCATAAAGGTTGCCAAGTTTGGTAGACCCGTATAGTACTTGACTTTTTCATTACTGTCTCCAAAGAAGCCATCAGAGATCTGCAGCTCATCAAGTTCACGCTGCAGCTCTCTGTTTTCTTCCAAAAGACGGTTCATCTCTGCACACCTGAGCACACACAGGTTACATTCTGTCTGTCCTTCCTGACGACCACCTTCTGTGTCATCCTTGGTGTTTGGCCGGCCAACGTTTTCAGCAGCCTTCTGCGTATCAGTCTGTTGCTGGTTAGGGTTCTCTGTCGCCTCATGTGTAACTTCATCCTGTCGCTGAAGGATTTCATCAGCCTGATGGAGCCCCGTTTCAGTTGCTTGCAGGGCATTCTTTTTCAGCTGTTCCCGATAACCACGTCTTAAAGAGCGTTCTGTGTCTGTTGGTTTGATGTCAGTGTGGCCCAGATGCAGGGATGGAGCCCAGTCTGGGTCAGTCTCCATCATCTCATATGCGGGTTGACCTGCAAAGTAGATGAAAGGTTGAGT